GATGATGATTTCGATGAACTCGATGATGCACAGCACCGAGCCGCCCATCCAGAAACCAAACTGCCCGCCCAGGTTGGACAGCAGGGTCACGATCTGCAAGCGGGGGGAGGTTGACGGCAGGCGACGGTGTGAAATCGAGAGTGATGCGTCTCGTTCGCACGTGTTACACTATTTGTCGTGTACAATCCATTGCTGGATGAAAGCCTCTCCACGTTGTGTCAGATATGCGGTAAGTTTGCCCACACTTCCACCACCATGGTTAGTGCGAGTTAGTGAAGTTTGGGGGGGGGGGGAGCAGGAATGGTTTTGACATTCTCTAGTTGGTGACTATGGTCAAACTTCCCCCATGACCAATAGAATGGAGAGGCCTTTGCATTTGTATACACAGTAGCAATGGTTAATTATCGATATTGCCCATGCACGTATTGATTCACATACCCACCAATTCGATGAATTGTCACAACTCAGGGCTGCAATTCAAAATGCCATTCCTGTCTCTCATTTTGAGTTTCTTATTTGTAGATTATAATCTTTTTCATGTTTTGCTTGCACATTTGTTTGAATGGGGGATACAGACATTGGTTGTTTTGCACTGCATTCACTGAAATGTAACATTTCCACATCATGTGCAGCTCATGCAAATAAGTGAATCCCGCATGGATGGTTTGATGCAAGCAACACCTGCGGAAGACGTTTACATCCATGAACATGCCAAGGTGCTCCTTAACGTTACAATCAAGAATTCACCGTTTGTGCTGGCGACTCAGATGTTGTCATGGAGTTGAATTCTTGAAAGAACAAGTTCACCTTTATTATGTCCTGCCTAAAGGCAAAGGCGTAAGGCAGAATCAGTGTTTGTGTTAATGCTGTGAGATAAACTATTTAAATATTACACATTACAAGATGCAACACTTTTCCTGTTTTCGGTTAAATATCCTACTAAGTAGACGAGATTGAAGTTTTATCACATTTATCATTTGACAGTTTATATTCTACAGACCTCCTGTGATCCGCGACCCTATTACCCACCACTGCTGTTTCCCATGGTAGCGGAAAGGTTCATAAAACTCCTGGTACCCGCAGCCCTATTCTTCCTATTATCCACTGTCACCCACAACACTGTCCCAAGTACATTGCGGAGGCATCCAATTACCCACAATTCCCTCTCCAATCATTTGAATTAATTTACTCCACATGATGGATAAAGAGCAGTTCTGTATATGATATGTGAACATTTGACGAATGCACATTTCGTTATTTCCATATATAAAGGGAAACTTCATGTTAATTAATGAAAGGCAAGACTGTCTCTCACATCTAAAATGTTGTTTTCTTGGAGGATATGCGATTATTATCATTCCTGCGGAGGGAGCTGGTAGATACGTTGGGTTGCTCGGTCAATGGCCAGGGTCAACGGCAGCGTGGTGTATTCCGCAAATATGCCCGACTGTGAGGGCGGGCACAAGCCGGCATGAGTAGGTTAAACGTTGAGTTTTTAAGGGCACCACGGGGTGACCAGCCCCTCCCCACCCAGCCCCACCCCTCCCCCCCACCCAGTCCCTCCCCACCCTCCTCACCCAGCCCCTCCCCACTCTCCCCACCCAGCCCCTCCCCACCCTCCCCACCCAGCCCCTCCCCACCCTCCCCACCCAGCCCCTCCCCACCCTCCCACCCACCCCTCCCCACCCTCCCCACCCAGCCCCTCCCCACCCTCCCCACCCAGCCCCTCTCCCCCTCCCCACCCAGCCCCTCCCCACCCTCCCCACCCCCCTCTCCACCCTCCCCACCCAGCCCCTCCCCACCCTACCCACCCAGCCCCTCCCCACCCAGCCCCTCCCCACCCTCTCCAACCTCCCCACCCAGCCCCTCCCCACCCTCCCCACCCAGCCCCTCCCCACCCAGCCCCCCCCCCACCTTCTCCACCCTCCCCCCCAGCCCCTCCCCGCCCAGCCCCTCCCCGCCCTCCCCGCCCAGCCCCTCCCCGCCAAGCCCCTCCACACCCTCCTCGCCCAACCCCTCCCCACCCTCCCCACCCAGCCCCTCCCCGCCCAGCCCCTCCCCACCCTCCCCGACCGGCCCCTCCCCACCCTCCCCACCCAGTCCCTCCCTGCACGACGGACGGACACAATAATCCCCTGTGGGCTGGTGTAACCAGGAGGTTCCTACCAGTATTGTCATTAGAACAGGCATCAAGAGGCTTAGTAAACAATTAACTCCTTGGGCGAGTGTGGTTGGTTTTCATCAACACAAGCTAATTGGAGCATTTATAAAGTACCACACTTTTTCATTGGCACACTCTTTGTATTTATTACCTGCTGACATTGTGCTTTCTTTCCTTTGATAAGATATGGAAAATCCAATCCTGCAAAATAAAATTCTTTAGTTAGACACTGCAGAAGAATGCTCAGGGCATTTTTTCTTTTTACAAATAACAAGCAGCAAACCCCATTGCTATGCAACTGAAGATAAAAAAACATCTGCACATTTTAATTTTAATACTCTTCTCATAAGTCTGTACTCGGAGCACTAAAAACAATATTTTTTATAACATAAAATGCCAAAGTTAATAGAATTTCAAGAATATCCTTGCGAAACAATTACATTAATAGATGCACAAATCAAATGAGCCACGGTCAGTCTTCTCAATATATTCCTCCCACCTTTTTTGGTGTCAATATCTATTCTGTGTCAGTTTAACACGTCGGCTTTTGCGACCAATATCATCCATAATGCAGGTTTTTTTGGGTTAGATAATGTAAATGTGTGTCGTTAAACCCACCACCACCCGACACAGCCACTTAGTAAGGTTTGTTACGTAAACAGAACATCCCAATTCGTTACGAGTAGCACATCGGTGTGCTGTACTAGTAACGAATCGGCATGTTCTGTTTTACGTGACAAACCTTAATAATTGGTTGTGTTGGGTGGTGGCCGGTTTAACAACACATTTATATTTACGCGATCTAACCAAAAAAACCTGTATTATCGATGTATTCTACGTATTTCAAAATTATACCACCAGTTAAATTCGATGTTTGTTACACGGAAAATCCGGTTTATCCAGTTACCCAGCTAGTTTCGGTGACAATGACTGGGCAGCCCTGAACAATAGAACGATTGTTGGGGTGGAGAGGATCCCAGCCAGCAGCCAGCCAAGAAACTCGACGCATATATCATTTTAAATAGTAGTATGATAATGCGTAATGTAAATATGCATTTACCTCCGAAGATTGCGAGGGCCAGTCTGACATGCTGATGCTCATTTTGTATTCACTTTCACTGCGCGTTAAGGAGCAAGAAAACATGTTTAAAGGAGACTGTCATAATACATTAAGTATTATTTTTGTATAATTTTGAAACAATGTATCATTGTTGCACAGCTTGGATGGATTTTCTAGTGGTCAATACGTAGGCATATCTGTACAGCAGAAATTTACCATATTTCTTGAGTATTGTAGTTTGGTTAAATGTGAAGGATATTGTAAATAATCACGTTCTTTATTTAACCAGGAAGGCCTCACTGAGTCTAAAGACATCTTGTTTGTGAAGCTCATGCATTCAGGTGTTTGTTCAATGCCATCAATGAGTGATTTGCATATGGCAGGAACACAGATGGATTGACTATTCCATTGCTGTACTGACATCTATTGGTCACATCGCAGCACAGTCCGATAACATTCCCATTTGCACATTTATTGTTCAGTCGGCTAAGTCATCGATGGCACCGCTATTGGTAGACGTGTGATGTGTTTTAAGTTGAATGCTGTTCAAACTCATCTGCACCTCTGATTAACACGGCTGGCTACTTACGGTGTGAAATAAGTTCAATATAAATACGTACGTACGTCCGTCCTGATCAATTAACCAAGCACACCCAGTGCGGAATTTGTGGATTACGGTATAACCGTCATTTTCTACAGATGTTCACAGATCCGACCTGATCACATATCCGCCTATACCTAAGTCCCCAGCAAATCGGCTACACGACATTGTGCTGTACTCGGTTACTCTTCTTACATGCACGGTTGCTTGCAGATGGTGTAACAGTCCATATCTTCTTCAACAAACTGGTCGTACAGCTTGTAATAGCAGTATCCTACAGGGTACACGCACACACAAAACCATACGTCGTAAGACTTTCCTTTGCACGTTGGCTATGCATGTATCGAGTAGCACAATGTGGAGGGCGAGCAACTCTCGCAGCTTACGCCAGCCAGTGAAGTTCTGGTTCTGGCAGTACTTCTCCCCTGGGGGCAGAGGGTACAGATAATAGCCGCAGCCACACATCTCGATCATCTTGGTCTGAAAGCAGGAGCGCAGGCAGGCCTGTTGAAACAAGACAGGGGGGGGGGGGGGAAAGATAGACGAGCACACAATCAGTTTGTGGTCCCTCCTCCGCAACTCCGATTCGCAACTCCGATTAGCACGGTTGGCCATGCACAGGCGCAGAAGAATTCCAACACGCAAAAATACGTCGTGAGTTTTTCAAAGCAATTTATTAACATTTACCTTCATGCGTTTGGTGTTATGCCAATTGAAAAGTAGTTTTTTTTGCTCAACTAATCATGTAGTGGTGCTCCTCTTACATTTACAGCCTTGAGCCAGTGATGGGAATTCCACATTCTTATATCGGTGGACAGTGTGTTCATTGGACAACTACTGTTGACTTTCCACAAACCAGTCTACGTTTTATAGACCTCAGAGGAATGATGACTTGAGTCGACCCTCCAACTGGGATTTGAACTCATAACCTTCTAAATGTAAACCTCTGCTGCTGTTCTGCCCAGTAGGAAATTACGCAGTGAAGCCGAATTTCTTGATAGATTGAATCTTCCTGGAAGTATCAATCACCACTGACACATGGTAAAATGTGTCGCAATGTGGCCTGAGAAGAATGTACGTTTGTTGAAGTCTAGCACCATGCTAATCGAAGGTGTGGTGGAAGGACAACAAACTAACCACAAAAAGCAGTTCTAAAAAAATGAGTTTTCAATCAAGATTGAAAAGTGCAGAGCTCCAGTGGCTTTCTAATGTCGGAACAGCACTCCAGATGGCCACAGACGCGCGTCTATAAGCGCGCGATGCAGTGACCATCTTTGTTTGATGGCCAGCCAAAAAACACTCTGAGGATGACCAGAGCTCACAAGCAATAAAGGCAGTCAAAAACACCAAAATTACTCGAGAATGTCTCACGTGCCCAGTGCATACCTGAACACTGTAGGCAGTGCCGTTGTAAAGATTTGTTATTGGCAGATCTGTGCCGTCCATGGTGCAGTCGCTGTATGGAGCACCTTGTCTTTGTAGTTGACCCTGGAGAGGAGGATTATGAAATCAGATGCGATCATCAGCGGATATGAAGAAGGGCCATTGCGCAAAACGTTGCCTATGTTATCTTTATCCTCTTCCAAGCAGTGTTATTGACGAATATGTTGTTTGTGTTGTTGTTGCTGCTGCTGTTGTTGTTAATTATGCTTATGCACTGCTGACAACGCAGCAGCACCACCAAATAATGTGTATATATTTTTTCAATGTTTTTTTCAATGTTATATCTCAATTATTTAAAAACGGTGTGTACGGCACCATTCATCTGTGTTTCTTCTTTTTACGTTTGTGTTCCTTACCACTTCAATCCCCACAGAGGTCTCAGCACCGGTCTTGACGAAGAAACCCTGGTTGCTGAGGAAGGGGTAAGTGTTCTGATCATGCAGCATGATTACAGCTCCCGCGATTGTGGTCAAGAATGGGATGTATTCATCTTGATCAATGCTGAGCACCAGTTTCAAACCTGAAAGACAACATTTTGAGTCCACACCAGAGGGCAAATGCTTTACAATCCCAGCTGTTCTTAATCCAAAGGGAGAAGGCCGACCCATATTCCACCACACTGGTCAGTGCAGGTTTGTGAAAAGGGCAGGATAGAGGGGGGGCAGGACTGGGTCTGGATAACAATTCCCATCTCACCTTGTTTAGTTTAGTGGTGTGTAGGAATATAGGGTACAGCAATATAGGATTATTATATGGAGAGACATACTTTCTCGTGGTAGTGCCTTATGCCAATAATCCTGAATCCAAGGCAGCTTAGCAGCGTTCTAGAAAAGACTGAGTGAGAAATTAAGCCCTGCTCGTATCACGCATGTTAGCCCCAGCCGGGAATGGAACTAAGGTCGCTGGGTTAATCGTGCATCTCGCTCACCACTCTTCCGCTTCTCAACCCCGTAGCTCCGTTACAATGCAATTCAATAAATATATTGTTGCACAGGCCAGACGCTTGTAAAAAAAAAACAACTCACCGTACTCAACCCCAGGGTTGGACACCTGCATCACCGTTTCGTTTTCACCCCAGTTGAAGATGAAGCAGTTGCCGTACATTGGGTGGTATAAGGTTGTGAAGTTTCTGCTCATTGAACGTGAAAAAAACATTGCCAAGAAAATAAGAATTAACGTGGAAAATTATTTTCATGCAGTCGTAAAACATTGTTAGCTTTGCGCAAGCCAATGCACAATTGTGTATTGTGACAAGCCGACATTTCAATTTATTGTTTAAAGAAAGCCAATTCGATTAAGTGCATTCAGACTGCTTTGGGGACGATGTGCAATGGGAAGATGTCTCACGTGGCATTGCACGCGTCGTTGCTGAAGAGACACGATCGGATAAGTTCATCGCCACTGGAGCTCAGGTTCGATTTCTCCTCGTTGGAGAGCTCTCCCAGCAGGCTCAGCAGGTTGAAGTGGAACCACTGCTTCACAGCAGTCATCCCCGAAAGGTACTCGCTGTAAAAGCACTTATCACCTGCAGTGTCGCACTAAAGAAACAGGACAGCACGCTGTAGCTCCAAAAGGGTTGCCACATTTCCCACTGTAGACCAAACTCGGACAATAATCGTCAGTAAGCCTAGGCCTATGGCACAACTGTGCCGTGGACTTGCATGCTACGGTTCGGAATTCGTTTTGCGGGTTAGATTGTGCGGGTATTGTGTCAATTAGAGCTATGTACCCTCCACCACCCAACACAGGCAAACAAATGAAGTTGTCACCTTGGCAAAATGTGCCACATCACGTGTGGTGTGGTGTGGTAAAGTGTCGGTACTCCCATCTCTTCAAAGATGTCTAGTCAGCGTGGACGAAAATACTAAATACTCTCTTGGGGGGGCGCTCTAGGAATAAACTAAATATTCTCTCAGAGGGGGCTCCCTAACAGTTCCCTCTAGTGGAGGTCCCTCTGCCGTATGTACGTGTAGTGCTTGACCCAGAGACACGAAGAGTAGGAGGCGCTCTGTTTATTAACACGGCCTAATAGTTAACACTTAGTAACTACGGCTCCCAGTCAGGACAGCTGTTAGACTGCCTGACTGGCGACGCCGAGACGGTGAAGACGGCGACGATGGTGAAGACTCCAGCAGCACGACGGAGATCCCACTCCACACGACGGCCACGAGGTCCCCTCCCGGGGCCCCTCTTATACTGTCGGCGTGGCCTGGCTCCGCCCCCGGTCACACCCCCTTCTGGAACCTACTAATGGGTTCTCGATGTGCCCCTTCTGTAAGCTTTCCCCTAAATCCCTCTCTGGTCTATCACGTGGCCTGCTGACAGTCAGGGCGGCTGCAAGCTGCAGATCCCCTTCCCTGCCAGCAGCCAGCGCTATGCTGCTACTTGACCGATTCTATGTCACTACATATGTATGTACGTGTGTATGTTGATCTTCTTTCGCATTGTACGTAGCCACCGGTGCTAATCGAAGGTGCCAGTGGCGTGAGCAGTATATATTCCAGGGATGGATAAACTGCAGCATGCGTTTTCTGGGCGATTGAAAAGTGGCTTGGTGTAGATGTGGCTCATTTGAAATGTTGAATGAAACAGGAAAGCTCTGCCAAAGTGGGACCTGGCCCAGGGCCGTCGCCTTAAGCAGCAGAACCAGACATACTCCCAATGTGCTCTTGCAGAAGCCCAAGTGAAAAAAATCCACGTATACCAGTGGAAACTAAACTAATAAAAAAAAATTACCAGGCCCATTGAGCTATAAGAGCTCTTTTACAGAAGTGACCTGGCCACAAATGATAGCTCAACGAAGTGGCTTATCAAGTGATAATTTATAGCAGCCAAATACTCTAGGCGCCTGGTGATTCTAAATGTGAAGGGAAAACCCAGAGGACCCAGAGAAAAATCCACACGAACACAGGGAGAGAGACATGCAAACTCCACATATACATTCGTCAGGGTCGGGATCAAACCCACGACCTCCTGTATACATCTCGCCACTATGGTGCTCCAAGTGACCAACTCACGTGATTTGCAGTTCTCAGCCACATGAAGATTTCAGTATGAGGTTCATAGGATCAGAAATTTTTGGACACCCTTGGTATATTCAGAAACTTTGTAGAGTACCTATATGATAAACTATCTGTTGTCTACAGTGTGGGTCTCAATGTCATCTGCAGCTCGACTGCACATCTGCCAGACATAAATGTCAATTACTTGCGCAGCAAATGTGCAGACACAGCAGAGTTTCTTTTCAATGATCTCACCAGTCGGAAACCGATCCTCACGTCCTTCCCCAGGTGAGGAATGAGCGACGAGGTCGCGTCCGCCGCAGCTCTCTCGGGTGGCACGGACACGGTGTCTATGGAGCCGTTGATCAGGTAGCTCTGCTTGCTCACCACCTCCGTCACCACCGTGCGGTTGGGGTCACGTCTGTCGATCAGCACCAGAGGAATGTCCTGCCATGGCGCCTTGGCGTACGAGGTGTTGTAAGGTGACGGAGTGCTCGAGTCGTTGTAGTTGTACAGGGTTTGGAGTGCTACGCGTGTGTAGGCCTCCAGGTCCTTGATTTTGTCCTTGATGGAGCTGTACCTGCAGAACGTACAGCGGCACGCACGCAGTTGAAACCCCAGATAGCATCACCGCCACCTAACACACTGGAATGCAGGTTTTTGAGCAAATATGAACTATTGCAATATGGGAAACCTCCTCACAATTTAAATTCGGCAATTAACGATAAATGAATGTTACTCATTATGATGTTTAAATGCATGGGATAGTTTTCATCCCAATGCTGAAATATTACCTGAAAACTACTCAACTTAGGTTACACACAGCACTCATCACCCCCTACTGAATATTAGACTAGAGTGGAGCCTCTGTGGGTAAACAAGTGTAGCTATAATAATTCGAAATAATACTTTTCTGAGATTAATTAAATAAGCGTATACAGGATTTGAGTAGAAGCACTCTTAACTTAACACCTAAATGCACAAGCAGTCTCCACCGGTAATCTACCTGTAAGCGTTCAGGTTGCACACAGTGACAGCAGGGAAGTTCATCCTCTGGAATCCCATGTTGACCGAGACGGAGACCCCGTAGGACAGGTACGCCTGGAAGAGAAGCACCCACTGCCAGAGGACGACGCCCAACATGATGATGGTGATGAGGAACCACAAGACCCGCTTCTTCTTGCCGTACACGACGACGCGCTTGCACCCGTGCGTGTTGGTGTTCATGCAGTACCAGTAGAGCAGCTCCGACACCGACGCCACGGGGCCCTTCTGCAGCCGGTGCAGGGATCGCGTAAGGTACTTCCTGATCTTCATGTTGGCCATCGTGAGTGGGACCTTAAAAATTGGAAAACATTCAAGTGGGCGACTGCGGTCACCCAGAACAGACACACAACATATAACGACGCAATGTCTGATACACAAATACAAAGGAGGCATCCCGGCGATGCACTCCGCTGCTCCTGACGCAGTTGTCTGGCTTGACCACCTGAATGTGAAATTCCAGTTTTTGCTCAGTATCTAGATCAGCCATTCGTCTAGCAGCTACTTGGTTACCGAGTTGATTGTTATCCACCATTGACTTGTGCCATATACATGACAGTGTACTCTCGTATGTGATGGTCTTCATAACACGGCAGAGGTAAAGGAAGGTGCAGACCTGCAATTACTCGCTCACACCACTGCTGGTGGAAGGGCATCTTCTAGAAAGTTCCTCTAAAGGGTGTTTGGCCTACTCTTCCACACTTGCCAGACGTCTTTAAAGAGGTCAGAGTTACCCACACTTTACCCCATCACATGCTTCCTGCTGATCAAACGACTACTCAACACAGAACATTGAATTAAATTAAATGTACATTTTATTTTTTCTGAACATTAACAATGTATATAAATCAACAGTAGAATTACACTATGGCACCTTGAGTTTCTGCTACATATTAATACCATTGCATATTACCCACTTAGCTTCTGTGTTTTTTTATTGCAGGAAATTAAATATGAACTACACAAGGAGAATAGAATATAAATAAGGCAACCGCTATTTTATATCCATTGTAATTTATGTGACTACATTAACCACCCCCCCCCCCCCCGGCCTTCGGACCTGATTCGCTCACAAGTGAAGACATCACATTTATCCCCCTCTATTTAAGAACGAAACAGGAGGATTTCTCCACAAATCTGGCTGTCGTCTGATGATGCTGGTTGTAATTACTGGCGAAACGTCGTACTCGAATTGTAAATGTTGTGGGTTTACTCTCCAACACACCGGTGTGCTGTACTAGTAACGAATTGGCATGTTTTAGTTCCGTGAAAAACCTTACTAATTGGCTGTGTCGGGTGGTGGCGGGTTTAACGACACATCTATGCTTACGCGATCTAACCCAAAATAACCTCTATTATGGGAAATATTGGTCGCGAAAGCCTACGTGTTAAGGAGAGACGGTACAAGCTGATGATGCCCCATAGCCGAATATCTTCCTTTTAATGTGGTCCGATCAGCCTGGCTGACCTCTGTGCGAGCTGATGTCACCATGCGAAACCCACCATGGGTTTACATAGGAACCATGCGCTGCTTACTATACCCCGAGTATCAACGTTCTTCAGGGAGAAACAAGTGAACGCAAATGCCCCAAGGGCCTGTTCTGAAGGACAATTGCCTGCAATGCAAGCCAATTAACCGCTGGCTGCATTTTCTAAAGGAGCTCTGAGTAACAAGTCATTTTAAATGCACACCACCGTTGGAGTGGCTTGCGTCTCGATTATCCTGCCTCCGCTTTGCTGCCAAGATTGTAGCCTCCTGTCCACAGCCCCTAGTTTAAAAACGAGTCGCTCTACCACAGTCAAACAAAGTTTCGCTAAAAGCCAGCCGACCGATTGCTAAAGGAGCACGTCAAGCCACATCGCTGAACGCAGATCGCAGTGCCACTCTGTTATGATTGATGAGGATTAACTTAACTTAGACAGGGTGACAACAGCAGCACTGCCAACACTAAAGCGTCACTGCTGCCGCAGTAATCGGTAGCCGATTTGTCAAATTTGTCTATGGGTCATTAGTCACACTTTCTACGGGAAGCGAATTACTCGGTTCACTGATGAAGGGATCTTTATTAGTGTTTAGCGCGAGACTTAAATACATTTAGTACTATGGGAACCTTTTTTGCCAGTATCAAAGTATGAACTACAACAATAGGTGTTACCCTTTATGGCTATACAACACGAGGTGTTAAGATGTTAAAACACCAAATAGAAACCTTTTGCAAGGCATCAAGTCTACACTAACCACACGTAGTTGAACATGCAAACAAACACGCTCTGGTATCGAGATTTGAAGTTTTCGTGACTGCAGGGATCCATACTTTTTGGTTCTTTTGGTAAAGTCACGTGGGTAGAAAATAAAATAAATTAAATCAAATCACAACGTTTCGGGCGCTTGCCCACTTCAGCAATTGTTTATTGCTGTGGTTGTTCCACCCGATGACGGGCACTTGTGTTGCGCTCGAAACGTCGTGATTTAATTTATTTTATTTTATACCTCTGATAATAATAGATATGCGTTGTGGTCGAAATTGTCGTGATAATTTTTATTTTGTTTTATTTTTATTATTTTATTATTTCCCTTCTACGTGACTTTACCGAAAGGACCAAGACTATGAGTATAACTAGAGGCCCTGGCTTTTAAACCGATTGGCCTCCACCAGAGACAGCCTTCTTTAGGCCAATCCGTTTCAAAGCCAATGTCGCGATTATTATCAGAGCAGGTTTTGTTTGCATGTTCACCACAAGTATGTGTGGTTAATGCAGACTTGATGCCTTGCAAAAGGTTTCTATTTGGTGTTTGAACATCTTAACACCTCCTGTTGTATTGCCAGAAAGGGTAAACTTTATTGTTACACATTTAGTACGTCAGACTAATCCTGCCCCATGAGTAACATTATTTATTCTTGCTCGACGGCCCATATTTGAGCGTTAAAGATTATTTAACGAGGTTAATCTCTTTAGCCCTTCAAGAACATTGTACTAGAATGCTCACCAGTCACTTTCGTTACGAATATCCCGTATTAAATCATCCATATCATCAATTCGTTCTGTAGTCGGTTTCGAAATTACACTGCACGCACACATACACACACTCTCTCAACATCCTTCAATAATGTCATCGCGCGCGGAGTTCATTGATGTAAAGACAGCATATGCATAATCACTATACAGACAATATCCTTCACATGCATCTGGATGGCGTGCAGTAGAGTGCCATACAGTATATATATTGTATTATATATTACTTCGTATAATCAAATACAAAATCTTCGTCCGAGCATTTCCTCGCATAGAGGCGAGAACTCGGGCAGAACAACGCCGTCGAGGCAAGAGGCAACACCGCCTCCTCGCTAAACGTGCTCCAAGTCGGTTTAACATTCACTCTCGTGCCACCATCCCTCGAGCTCTTTGGCCTACTCTTCCCCACACCCACCCCCATGAACACGGCCGCGTAACCTGTAGGGCTGATGCCCGCGTGTGGCTGACGGAGCAATATTTGCGAGGCTCACCTCGGCGGAGGCGCGCGGTGCTGAGTGGGGGCGGGATTCGTCCTCTGGGCTCCCTCACAGCGCTCACAGCGCGCCCGACTCCGCCCGACTCCGCCCGACTGCGCCTGCACGAGGAGCAGCAGCCACTGCTGCTGCTGCCGCCGATGATGCCGCTTGCGAGCCAGCGAGTGGAGTTGGGGGAGGGGGGAGGGGAGGTGAGGGGATGGAGGGGGAGGGTGAGGAGAGGGAGGGGAGAGGAGGGAGGGAGGGGAGGGGAAGGGAGGGAGGGAGGGGAGGGGAAGGGAGGGGGAGGGAGGAAGGGGAAGGGAGGGATCGGAGGGGGAGGGGAGGGAGGGAGGGAGGGGGAGGGGAGGGAGGGAGGGGAGGGGAGGGAGGGAGGGGAGGGGGAGGGAGGGAGGGGAGGGGGAGGGGAGGGAGGGAGGGGAGGGGGAGGGGAGGGAGGGAGGGGAGGGGAGGGAGGGGAGGGAGGGAGGGGAGGGGGAGGGGAGGAAGGGATGGGAGGGGAGGGGAGGGAGGGGAGGGAGGAAGGAGGAGGTGAGGGGAGGGAGGGGAGGGAGGTGAGGGGAGGGAGGTGAGGGGAGGGAGGGGGAGGGAGGGGAGGGAGGGGAGGGAGGTGAGGGGAGGGAGGGGAGGGGAAGGAGGGGAGGGAGGGAGGGGGAGGGGAGGGAGGGATGAGAGGGGGAGGGAGGGGGAGGTGAGGGGAGGGAGGGGAGGGGAATGAGGGGTTGGGAGGGATGGGAGGGAGGTGAGGGGAGTGAGGGAGGGGGAGGTGAGGGGAGGGAGGGAGGGGGAGGGGAATGAGGGGTTGGGAGGGATGGGAGGGAGGTGAGGGGAGGGAGGGAGGGGGAGGGGAATGAGGGGTTGGGAGGGATGGGAGGGAGGTGAGGGAGGAGGAGGGGAGGGGGAGGTGAGGGGAAGCGGTCCCGCAGCTGTTCCTGCGCGCGCTGCCGCCGGCCACGAACCCGATTCCCGCTGCACGGCCGCAAGCGGCAGTGTGTAGTAGTATCATAATAAAAATACTTGAACCGGTTCCGGCAACTCCTCCCCTGAGGTCGACTCAGCCCCTCCAACGAGTCTCCGGTGTGAAACATCAGCGCTGTGGAGACCGGGGCGGCCCGGCGTGGTGCTGGCCGCACACCACCCCCTCGTGTGCCATGCATCATCGGCGGTTACTTGCGAACGTCATTTGTCCCCAACAGTCTGTTCAGGCGATACGGTTGTATCTTTGTGTTTTGTCTTCGCTGCCTGTACCTCCGACACATGAGCGTGCTCGTGCCACAAAAACCAACTCAACACTTTCGTCGATAACGCTGTGGGTCTTTGAATGAATGTTGTATCGTAGGCGACGTTTCGGGCGATGACCCTTCTTCGTAACAGTTAAATAGACAGGCCAGTAGAGAGCTGGAGTGGATCATCGGAGTTGGATGCTGAACAGTCTTTACACCATTGGGGCCTGTTGGGCATTTAAATGTAAAAATGTGCTTTCCTGAACAGACGTTACATTGGCACATGAACCTTATGGCGGGACCCCGGGGTCCCAAATAAACGGAAGTCAAAATCGTAATTAACTCATTAATTTTTGGCGACTCCGTCCCACCGCGCACACAAACGCCGCGACCCGCCTGGTGTAGATCATTCTGTTGTCGTGTCCAAGGAGGACGAATGCGCAGAAGAAACAAAACTTTGTATTCTTTGGGTCTTTCGGTAAAGTCACGTAGATAGGTACAATTTAATAATAAAAATAATAAATATAAAATAGATAGGTACAAATAAAAAAAATGATAATAAAAAAAGAAAAGAAAAAATATGTATTTATTATTTTTATGAATTTGAACCTATCTACGTGACTTTACCGAAAGACCCAAAGAATATGAATTCCTGCAGTCACGAAAGCTTTAAGTCAAGATTGTGCATCGTGTAGAGCTCGTCGAGAGGAACAGATCGCCGTATCGTTCGCCTTCAACAGACAGAATGACGTCGCAACGCAGTTCATGCGAGAGCCGAGGGCATATGGGACCCCGGGGTCCCGCCATAAGGTTCATATGAATAGTTTACCGAATCGTAGCGGTTGAGTAACAGACAACAACCCCTACAGTAAGCAGAGAGTGTTACTAAATAAAATGTCTACTAAAAGTGCAATTAAGCATTGCAGTCAGTAGCACCAATGCTGTTGCAACGTGATCACAGCTCAAGTCTCAAGTGCATTTTGTTTGACCCGCTTTGAACTCAGAGGCCAGGATGGATCGCATTTGCAAGAGTGACCCAAGTCACCAACATTACAAAAGAAAAAAACAATAAATTACGGCCGTGACGTAAGTAGAAATCAATCTCTGCCTGCCGTGGAAGTTAGCGAAATGTATTCGCACGAATGCAACTTTTCTTCTTTGTACTCGCTGATCCGTCTATAGACACCCCACTCATTTCAATGGTCCTCTTTCTTCTGAATGAATAAACACAACACAATGGCCAACAGTACCTCACCCAAGAAACATAAAGCCTACAAAGCATACAACAGGCATGATCTCGGGCAATGCCACCAAACGCAACGGCAGAGGTCAGAGAGATATAATTAATCATTATTTACTGGGTGATCGAATTCCCGCATTGTGAATGCCACCGCTCCGTGTCTTACAGAGAGATAAGGACGAAGATAGCACCACTGCCAATGCAGTCCTCCAGAAGTTTGTTGTTGTTTCATTTTGAGTTGCACATTGTTTGCATGAAGTCTTCGTGTGTCCATAAGTACGATGCATTTGCAAGTCTTATCTCAGATCTCACGCATCATGAGAATCAATGGATTCGCATCTGTTAAAGGGAAATGCAAATGCATGGAAGAGAGAAGTTGCATTTTTTAAATTTCGTTTTCTTGTGATGGTTCAACGTGATATAAATTCCATATAAAGGTAACATTGGCAACCATGACAAATCCACTGCTGGATGAAGGCCTCTTCCACACTATCGTCATTTGTCACGATCCTAAGATGTTAAAATCCACCAATCACCTGAGCACGAACCGATTTAATCGCTCCACTGGTCCATATGCCAGAGCAGAATTGGTACCATTTAAGGCAGCAAAACTTAAGACGAGTGATTTACTTGCTAAGCCCACTCGTTTCAAATAGTAACCACACAATTCGCCGTTATTGATCGCATGAAGAAATTGGAACTGCTAACGTGATGCCACCTCCAGGTGAGGACTGACAAGTGAGATAGCTGGTCTCAGCTCATAGACCACACGTTCCATCTCCATGGTGGTTGTAGCTATAGAGTGCTTTACTGTGCACAGACATCCACGATTTAATGTCTCGGTTTGAGATTCCACAAAAGGAGAAGAGATGCAAACTAGATTTGAAGTTTTCGTCACTGCAGGGATCCATACTCTTTGGTTATTTCGGTAAAGTCACATAGGTATAAAATAAATTAAATCACGACGTTTCGGGCGCAACACAAGCGTCCGTCAGAGATGCATCACCCCGAGGTCAGGGGTCGGCAACCTCTTGAAGGAACTGCTTCGTGACATAATTTATTAAGGACCACCATCTCGTATTCACATTACATTGAGGCTCTTCAAATTACTTTGGTTGCCGACTGCTGCCCTCGGTTCTTCGCGTCTTCCCCGTTCTCTACAATGTGAAACAATACTGTGGAACTGTGGCGCCATGTATTTGATTGATATGTGCTGGTTTTGCATATCTGCATGTCCGACCATTCACTCGTACCGAAAGGACGAGCTGATAAGCCCACACAGGAGGAAAGAAAGACCGGTTTAGCAACGACCACTGCCATACCCATAAAGGACCCTCCCTCCATTCTTGGGCCAGTTCAGTACAAGATAAGTGACACTCAACAAGAGTGAACAAGCCATCAGCAAAACGTTACAGGGATGCTATGATATCACTACGCTTTGGCACATTCTGCGTGCAGCCTGCTGCACTGGAATGCCTCATGTATTTTCGGTTGGATGGCGAGGAAATAGAAATGAGGACGTTCAATAGGAACAGGTAGAGGAGGAGAGAAGTCTTGGTAGGATAAAACAGAGACAGCAAAACCAATGTCAAGTGGGGCCACATTCTGAGACGTCAAAGCTCAATGAGGGAAGTGCTGGAAGGAAGCATGGATGTTTGTAGAGAGGCCAAGAGACAGAAACATAGAATGTTGCAGCTACAGGACTTGAAGGAAAGCGCAACACTACGAGGAGACGTCTGGCTCGAACCCAATACACAAACTCCTCACCGATAACAATAATGTCCACAGCCTGTGCATATACCCTCTTTGTATGGTCTATAAATACTATTTAAGCGCTCAAACTATTTTTATTTTCACATTGGTACCTCATTTGCCAGTAAAATATGATAATTGTTTTTTTACCCTTTTATCTGGCAACAAAACTGACACCTTTTTTACGAGGAGTCATGTTTGCATAGACCACAATACCTGCAGTCATAATGCAAACAAAAAAACACAACTTTGATAAGGACAGTGCATACATTATCAGAGTTGTGTTTTTTGTATGCATTATGATTGCAGGTATTGTGGTCTATGCAAACATGACTCCTCGTAGAAAAGGTGTCAGTTTTGTTGCCAGATAAAAGGGGTAAAAAAACAACTATCATATTTTTATTTTATTGTAAAAAGCGACCTGCCCATCACAAATGATAGCTCAACGAAGTCGCTTATCACGTGGACATTTACAGCGGCCAAATACTCTAAATGCATGTTTCTAAATGTGGAGGGTAAAACCGGAGGACCCCGTGGAAACAAAAAACCACGCGACCATCGGGAGAAAGTGCAAACTCCAATTTACACAGGCGTCGATGTCGGGATCGAACCCAGAGACGTCATGTATACCAGGCGAGGGAGTTAACATCTCGCCACCGCGGCGCCTATTGAGGTTCTACTGCATGCGTTCTCATGGCTCAAGGCACATTGCTCATCAATGGGACAAAACGCTGAAGAGATCGCAGCGTGAGGTTGGTTTGGACCGTTGTCGCAAAATGTGGCTCTGCACGAGCCAGCCACGTGGGCGCACGTGCAGTCGGGGGACGCCGCACAGATGGGATCCTCAAAGTTCGCTCCCCGTTTCATCACGGATAA